TGCTAGTTTTAATCAGTTACCTACAGTTTTAACCAAAAAACGAACAATAGGACACGTTAATTTCGTACACCACTGGCCTCCCAAACATCCGCTCCTCTCCCGTGGCGCTTTATTAATCAACCGAAAAAACAAATTGAAATTTAGTCGTCGAAGAACGACCGTAAAATGGAAGGCATCAACGGCTCGAAATGTTATCCCATTTAACGACGTTTTTTTCCTACCATCTTCCTCGGACCGGGTACCATCACATCGCCCATCGGGTAATTCGATGCTCGCCTTCCAAACACCGCGGGTCATCCCGGATAGAAAGAACACACCGAGCAATTTTAATCGGCGCGAACCGCGTTGGTTTTAATTGGCCCACTCGTGAATGCCTTACCGTTGAACATGATTGGATAATTCCAATGTTATACAGGGTGTTTTCGAATGGTACTCCATTTATATCGCTTCGTACATAGAGAAAACTGATAATTAAGTGCCTGGTAAAATGGTAGTAAGTTTGCTCTACTGTGGCTTCTAAGAGGGAGTTTAATTCGAGCGATATTTAGTGATTTATTTTACTAATGCAAAACCTACCCTATATTGTTAATTTAAAAATGTTTAATTATTCCAACCACCTGTTGATTTCCGATCCAGCGAGGTCGTTTATCAAACACCGCAGGAAACTAAAAACCAAGTATCTATTATGGCTTTCGGTTTTATTTTTTCGTGTGTGTGTGAATAGATCGTTAAGCACATGCCGTTTTTTTTTTCATCGACTGCTCGACTGCTCGACGGGCCGTCGAGTCTATTAAAAATGGCGAAAAATTCGGGCCCCGAAAAAGTTATACCTGCCCTAATCCGCGCGTTGGTTGCGCCCGTCCGGTAGTCATGCCAAATCGACCGGGCACTAACAATAGTTATTTGTCGTGTTCGATCGCTCGATAAACCGTTTCCTTCTCGAATCCACTTTTCGATGGAAGAAGAGCATCCGTGCGGTTTCGTTTGCTTTGGAACTCGTACCTGCCGAACGAGGAGGAAATACAGGAGTTTATTTACGCACCGACTGTACTCGAGAATACTTCGGATTTGATCGAATCGAGAAGCTAATTATGTTTCAAGATTTCAGCGAAGTTTCTGCCATTAATTTTGTATAGCGCATTTTAATAGTTCTTAACGATCAATTAACTTCAACTTGAATAAATTACAGTAGATTTCAACAGATTAATTGGAGAACCCCGCAACAAAACCATTTTTTTGGGAAACCAGCACAGCTATTATTCAAATGCGCGCTATTATATCAAACCTCAGCATTGTAGCGATAACGGATTCGATTCCGAAGGGTTGTATGGTGTGTATACGTAGCAAATAAGCAAGAAACAGTGGTGGTTTTCGCGTGCAGGGTAAACAAAATGTTGCAGTTACGGTTCCAAAAGCGAGGGAAATCGAATCATGATGCGGTCCCGGGGGAATTATTCGCCGAATCAATTCGACGGTTGTATTTCCGCAAAACGAAGCACGCTATATCAGCGTATACGAATGTATATACAGAGTCATTATTTTTTTTTTCATTACATCTAGAATCAGAGTACAAAAAGTTCATGCGAAAAGCCCTGTGCAAATTTCGGTTATATTTGATAATTAGTTGCATTCAAATTGAATTAGAGTATACCTCTAATGATTAATTTATTAGTGTTTATAACTGTTGAAATTTATTCTTTAATTTGTATGTCGATAATAATTAATAGATGCATTTGTGGTGGGAAAATGAGCTTAACAACGTATAAAATTCGTTGCGAATCCGAACAATGATTTTCAATCCATTTGTCACTAATAGTCGTTGGGGAACCGCTAATAAATCGAATTAAAATGTATTGAAAATCAACCGAATATCGCATCAGTCGATATCTGCAATTTCCGAAAAATTCCTTTTGTCCGCGAAAATAAGAAAGAACGTTAATTGATTACCGGTGCTGTCCTCCCCCTACCTGCAAAGCAAACCTCTTTATTATTCCATTATAAAAAGACCTTCTAACATAATAAATTTCATGCGCCGTTGCCACGTCGCTATATTTTCTTGTACATCTAATTAATTTCGCCTTCGCACCTATAACAACCCTTAATCCAACTAAATCCGGACCCCCTCTAATTCCCGCCTGTAAACTAGATCGTTCAATTATGAATAGCCGAGATGCAGCTTTCATAAATATTTGATCGCATCCACTCTGCACCGAGACTCTCCTGATATTACCCTCATGATTTCTGAACCGAGCGCCGCTAAATAATGAATCCTTTACATATGATATCGGTAAACCCGTATCGTACGAATGTCGTTTTCAAACATCCAACGGAATCGTGCGCGTTTCGCCGAAAAATCCGTTATTTATTTAACGTGGATATATCGAGGAAAAAATGGCTAATTAATATAGCAACACCGTGCTTCATTCAGCCAGATGTATTTCAACCAATATGCAAAACATTTCTGAGTATGTGTATGTATAATAACGGAAATAATGGCCCGTGTTCAGCGCCTCTGTTTAACTTTAGAGCGACTCTAAAGTCGCGTGTCGAATCCCTAGTTACTCCATAACAACAATGTAAATCTGTCAAGTTAAAGACGCGACTTTAGAGTTAAAGTCACTCTAAAGTTAAAGCAATGAATTTATTCCATTTGGCGTTTCCAGCCTGTATAAATGTTTACCCACTTTCGGAGTTTCTTCAGATGCTACGATTATCAACATTTTTATATTTACATCGAATTGTTCTCAGAAACAAAGATATTAATTCAATATTTTTCTATTCCAGTCAAAAGAATCTTCAAGTGCCAAGTTGCGACTTCCTCCAACGATAAGTATGGACATTGTGATTGGTTCAGGACAAGAAAGCCACCCTGTACGAAGTGATTTTACTGATCCATAGATAATACCCTAAATGAACGTTCCTACTGCTGCTCCTTATCATAACACATTGTAAATTGTCGCTGAGTATATTGTTGTGTGATACATTTATTTTAGCCTGTTGTATTCTATTTAGAAAATAAATTTTTACACAGAAATATTTGTTATTTTTAATTAAAACATATAAAATATTAACGGGATTTACATAAAAAGGTATTTCTATTGAGATTATTGAAAAATTTGGTAAAAATAATGCATTTATAAATTTTAATACCTGAAATATGGGTTACCGATGTATTAATTATACATACAACGAATATTGGTTCGACAAAAAATGCAATAGATGGCGCCAAAACTTTTTGCAACACATCGCGCACATTAGCGTATGCTTAGGTTACTTAAGAAAGATAGGTTCTAGGGTGGCACCGGTGGGGGAGGACGGCGGAGCAACAAATTTAACCAACATCCATGATTTACGATGCTCATTTGTGAAGATGAGTACTTTGAAAATCCTGCGCATATTTTTCCTTCAAGCAGAGCAACATACCCCTACCGTGGCAAAGGAGGTACTGAGCGCTCCGGGCGCCGACATGTCTATTTATCATGTGAAACCCCGTGGCGCCATCTACTAATAAACTAACGACAAATGTAGGAAACTGTTGAATTGGCGCATTTTAATGAAAGGAACAATTTTTATTAAAACTTTTATTTTTATTAACTGAAATAAGTTAAATGACAACTTTTTCGAATAATATAATAATCATAACATATTCCTGTCAATTCTATACAGATAAATTTTGTGTATTTACATTATTTGTTTAGTTATTTCATAAATTCATACATCATTTCTTATAAAGGGTGTTTCAATAAGACCGCAAGATTTGAATTGCCTGTCATGTTTGACAGTCATAATAACACGTGATTATAACATGATAGATCGAAAGTTAACAGTTGGGAGTTAGTAAATATGGAGCATTGGATCTGGATATGGATCTGGATATGGAACATAAACGCGTCTTAATTGTTAAACATTACTCCCAGTCGGGTCATTTCCCGGTTTGGTAACCAGAATTGGCCGCCGCGTTTTTGTGATTTAGCACCTTTGGACTTTTTGTTGTGGGGTAACTTGTAGTCACAGGTTTGCCAACATGCCCACAACCACCGAAGCCTTGAAAGCCGAAATTAGACGCTCTATCAATAAAATACCGCCACAAGTACACAATAATGCTATTGAAAATGTTATCAAAAGAGTAAGCATGTGCCAGCAAAGCCGCGGCGGCCATTTACAAAATAGTTTGTTTCATATATAATTCCTAAACGTATACATGATAAATTTATAAATATTTCCATATTTGGCTACAGATAACATTGTTTTATTGAATCTTAAAATCTTGCGCTCTTATTGAAACACCTTTTATAACTCAAGAATTGTTTTTTTCAATTACATTTTGAAAAATTTTGTATCGTACATATTCATTTCGCTACCGACAAAAAAACATCGATAAAACTACCTATTCGTCAGATATAACAATTAAATATAAAATTTCGCTAATAAATTTCAATTTATTTGTTAAATGCAAGAAAATAAATATTGGGTAGGGTAGAAGAGATAGATAAGAGGAGACCGAGTGGAGGCGATTCGGAGAATATTAAATTTCATCCGTAAATCTTTACACGTTGGGTTTTTTTATTTATTATTAATATATTTATAGTAAATTTAATAATTCGAGTAGATTCTTTGATTGCATTTTATTCGAAAAGCATCGCTGCGACATGCAACATCTTAGAATCAACTCGTACATTTGTCTTTGATTCCACTGCAAACACTGCAAGTGTTTCCTCCAAAGAGGTAAAAAAGTCTATTGGTACTAACAATTCCTTTGTTCCTCCTTAACTACAGGACTTTTTATACAATTTAAAATATGGGAATTTTAAAGGGGTTGCGAAACATTTACCATTGGACTTATAGATTCATTCATATACTTTTTTTTTGACCGAATAATAAGAACAATTAACAGGGGATATGAGGGGATGGGGGAGGCGATTTAAATTTCCTTTTAATCGTCTGGCTGGAGCCGAGATGGACGAGTCCAAACGGGAGGGGCCAAAGGTCACAGTTTCTCTTTAGCCGGTCCAAATGTTTGGTCCTGATTGCTCGTTGATAACATCCTTTGCTTGATTGTACATTTCTTCGGGGGTGTCTCCTGGAACCACCACTAAAACAACAGAAGATATTATTGCAACGTCTATTCTTCTAACAGTACTAGAGTAGACATAGGTTTGAGTAGTTCCAAACGATTTGGAAATAACTTACCTGTAAAATACTCTCCAAATTCCTGTTCCATTTTAACAGCCCTTTCGAAGATCTTTTTTGCCTGCTCCTCCGACATTCTCTTGTTCATTTCCCTGTAAATAATAGGTAACGCGTTATAAACAAATTAATAATTCATTAAATTACTATAATTACACAACTGTAGGAGGCAATCATTCATTTATTCGTTCATTCACAGAGTCATTGGTGTGTTTTTTAAGGCTGCAATTCGTCATTTTCGTTGGGAAAAAGTACCTAATCTTACGTAAACGGACACTCTCGATCGGAAAATCGACGTTTCGAAACCCGGAAAAGTCTCCTTCCCGGTGAAAACCCGGAATTTCCGCGCCCATTTTTACATTTTTGTTTTTTTCGGAACTTTCTCGGAAAGTACTCCACCAACTTTAATTATGACACATTAAAATCTAGCTATCTAGATATAGACTATAAAACAATAAAATATAGAAATATATTACATTTTCAATCTGTTCCTTTAACTTTGCTTTAAAAAATCCGTTATTTATTCAACGCAGATACATCGAGGAAAAAATGGCTAATTAATATAGCGCATATCAATTAACCCCGTTCGGCGAGTGGAGTTTAATAAATTATCAGCCGAACATAGTTTTGGGAAACTTGAAGCCAGAAGGCGGGAAGCACCTGCATTATTAAAACATAACCATGGCGAAACGAAACTTCGCAAATTTAGTCGATATAGTTTTAATTCGCGGCCCCGCCGGGAAAGTTTTATAATAATGAAACGAACGGCACGCCGGTTGTAAATTTATTTACAGGAAGCTTATACTGCAAATTTCGATTTTAATCGTCCGGAAAGTTTGATTAATAGTTGATTAATTTTCTTGGATGTATATCATTTTTTTCGTAGTAAAGATACACGCTACAGAATTTTACCGCTCCGGGTGAAACGTAATAACAATAACAAACGCGAAATAAGCAGGGCTGAGCGGGAGTGTTACATTTCCGATTGTTACATTTCAGCGGGTTGCCTTTCGCCGCCGACGAGATAAGGTAGGTAATTTGATCCTCCTTCTGGCAACGATGTTGCAGCAATTCCGCCTAATCCCTCGAGTGCGAAACGACTTCTTTCCTATTCCATCATCTCCATAAAGGAAAACCACTCGGCTAATTCCCGCCGCGATTTTTTTTACTTTTAACCAACTTGCAACATACAGGATGTCTCCGGTTCATTAAAGCTTGAAGGGTCCGTAGTTTACCCCGATCCGTATAATTTCCACGTAGCGCCAAACCACCCCCTAGACATTCGAAGTGATTAGGATTTACGGCTCTTATTTTATTTCTGGTAGCATCAAAAATGCAGCAGAGGTTGAGCTATGGTTCTGCGGCCGACGAGCGAATAAAATATTGATAATCCTAAGCGGCCTTTTATGTATACAGTTAGTCGGACAGATATTACGGTGCATTATTAAACAGATAAATGGTACAGTTCTTGCGGTTACCTACAACGATAAGTCCGGTCGAGAATGATTGTAATCGATATGTAACTTTCTAATTGCATTCCTCATTTTCCTCTCGAGAGGGAATAAATGCAGGGGATGCTATCGATGCTGGTCTTATCGAGTAAAGGGCGCTCTTTAATGCTATAATCCTCGTGCCTCGCGACCGATCTTCCGTGAAAAAAGGTTTAATTAAAGCGCTGGGATTTTTCTTATTTGACGCTTGATTAATCAACCGAGCGATTGAATCAAGTGTAAATGTCACAATCCGGCACCTTAGCAACAGATTAGTTACTAATTTTTACGTCATCGCTGGGATAAATTGAACGTACTATATTAAGAAATTGCGGTTTAATTTATGCGCGGGTAGCATCAAACATGTCGCGTATATAAACAATAATTTCTAATAACAGACATTTCCAGCCCGTTCGGCGACGATTACACGTCTAGTTCGCATTATTGTTATGATAATGTACCGGGTAAGTTTTCCCGGGGAAACGGTGAAATACACCGCCCGATTTAATTCGTTTTATTTAGTTCCTAGGAAAATAGCGAAACGCCGGGAAACGTCTGTTTTGATAAATTTACATATCATTTTTGCTATACGCTCGCTTATTAGCATTGTTGATCTCGCGAGGGCGGAATGACTGGAGAAAATTTAACTGTATATACTCCGGGGATTTAAATGCGTTTCGCGTTTTATTCGAATTTAATCAGTCGTTCTGCTAAATTGACTACAACGCTCCTTATAAAAACCACCTCACAAGACCTCTTCAAACTCCGATATGATTTTATGATGCCTAATTCATTACAGCGGCGAATTATCATCGGCAGTAGAATTTTTAAGGGGGGCTTATCGTTTAGTAGACAATAACTCAGATCGCGTTCCCCTTTCATAAACTATTCTGGGAGACGGCGGCGGTTGGCGGCGGTATCGGGCCGTAGATCAGAGATAACAAAGTGTCTGCACGTGCTCGCGCCCGCCCCATTTGCATAAACGTAGTCCGAATACGGCGGTTCCGGGGGGCAATATCTCCGGCTGGCACCGACGAAGGACGCGAATTATAAATCTATACCTACCCGGCAATATCATGGATGTAGAAATAACAGGAGTACGAAAAAGAGAGTGTAATAACTGACCATCATAATTGAGGAAGAGAGATATGGACTTTTGTCATTGAAAAAGTGTTTTCAAATTGTTCAGAACTGTTTCAGAATTATTTAGAACTGTTCAAAATATTTAAGAATTGTCAAGAATCATTTAGAACAATATTAGATCTGTCTAAAACCATTTGAGATAGTTTAGACGATCTTAGAACCATTTAGAACTGTTCAGATCCACTTAAATCTGGCTAGATACATTTAGAACCATTTTAAAATTGGCTAGGACCATTTGAAATAGTTCAGGAACAGTTCAAATTTTAAACTTAATAGATTCGAAACAGTTTAGACGATTTTAGAACCATTTATAAATGTTCAGATTCATTTAGATCTGACCAGACTCATTTAAAACTAAACTGCTCCACAAAACTTAAGGAAGTTTGCAAATTTTGCAATTATTTTAAAAGTTACAGACTTTTTGATCACCCAATTTTCAAATATGCGAAATTAAATGTCTTCTCTCATACCTGAGTTGATTTTTGTCCCTACCTCTACAACTCATATTAAATTTGGCGATCAAAAAACCTGCAACATTTAAATAAATCTCAATATTTGAAAACTGACTAAGTATAACATTCGTAACAAATTAGACGATCTTTAGAACTATTTAGAACTGTTTAGAATTATTTTGATCAGGTCAGACTCATTTAGAATCATTTTAGAACTGACTAGGACCATTTCAACAGTTCAGAACGATCTTAAAACAGTTTACAACTGTTCAAAATCTAGGATAAACAACATAATAGTTCAGTACCATTAAGAACGCTCTCAGGACTTTTCAGAACTTTTACAAGAGTATATTATTAAAATATTTCAACTGAAAACTCGACTAACTTTGTAAAATTTTGCAATAAAATTTATATACGCATTTTATCCTCATCCTTATTCGTCCTTCCTATAATTCAGTACTGATTAAAATAAATATTTCAGCGCTCTGTATTCGACTCCTGTGGATTTTGATAACTGTGTCTGAAGCGGAAATTACTGAACCGAAACGCCGTTATATTTTTATTTATTTATAGAGTAGAATACAAAAAAAATACCGCCCCGGCGGCATCGAATTGTTATGGTAATATCGGCGTTTTTTTTTCCGAGGGAAAAACGTCACTCACAATCCCGTTAATTTCGAGATTTTTTTTTTGTGCGCGTTCGGGGGAAACGCGATGATTAGCGGGACGCCGCCCGCAGTGGACGAATATACGCACAAAAACGGAACGAATCGGAAAACATAATGCGCGTCAATCAACAATGGATTTACTTCTTGGGTTACACCTCGTTTGAAACATAATTCGTGACATTTGACGGGCCTAATTCGTTTAAAAAAAAAACGTACGAACCAGCTGCGAAATCGACGCCGCCGGAGGAAAATAAGGAGGAAAAATACGGCCGACCCGAAAACCATATATTTTTAATAAAATTCCCGATTGAACGGGCGCGGGAATCCAAAATTGGCGTATCTGTAACGCAACGCTTGCATAAATTTCAATTCATTTGATCACGGTAAAACGATCGCAGGAGGAATTTGATGATTCAACGTGTGCCTGCCGGATGCTAATTTTCGAATTTGAATATTATATAATTAATGCGCTCGATTAGAATTCGAATTCTGCAGTTAAACAACCAGCGATTTTTCCAAAAAAAAAATAACGCGGAATTAAGCGGAAAATTAACCGTCCCGATGAAATGTGCTGCGGCATTGCAGGAGCAGCAAACTTCTACATATTAAATCGGCAATATTTATCACTGTCGGGAGTTCCCCGGATTCGTTTGTACGCGATAAGGCACGCGCTCTAATTTACCCGGAATTCTTTTCGGTTGCGCTAATTTTTCAATGCGGGACGCTCCGCCGGAGTAATGCGGGGTTTTAAGGAAAAACACAACATCGAAACGGGATGAAAAAACGAATTTTGTTTTTCAATAAAATCCGAACGCCGGCAATATCCCATCCGATATCGGAAATCTGAGATATATTCGAAAATTGTATGCGGGAAGAAGGCAATCTGCAAATATCGAATCGACAATTCCATTTTTCCTTTTCGAAAAAAACCGCTCGCTTTGTTTATTTCGAGAGGCTTTAAGGAGCGATATATCCTGATACGACCGGGTAATTTGTTTTTATTCGAAATTCGCCTCTAAAAACTTCCTCCGATCGAAATTCCTCGATTGACAATAGGTGTTTATTCCACGGCGATTTTATTCCCAACATTCCCCGCGCGAAACGCTAAAGAGAACAGGATATAAAATTTTATCCCGATCGAAACGAATCCTCCAGAGAAGCGCAACAAAGACGAAACTACTCAAATTATAATAAATTTATAATTTCCAACGAAACGTTTTTTTTTCTCTCGTCAAATATTTTTCAAATACACACAAGATTTGAATGTTAGTAAGCCCGCGAGGGCGAGTCTCCTTTTGCCGACGCTAATCTCGTCATAGAAATAGCAAATGATTGACGGTTCCTTTATAGCCGGTTTATAAACGGGGCATTATAGTTCTGACCCGGGCCGCAGGATTATATTTACCGGCGAAAACCAATTTAGCGTTACGTCTTACCGCCGGTATAGATCTTTAAATAGAACGCCGGATTATTATTCGAGGCATTGTCGGGGCACAATTTTAGGGCAAATAGCACCCTAAAATGCCAGACGTGCTGGTCATTAAAAACGTCGATTACTCCATATACTATAATAAATGTTAGGGTGGCAACACTGGCTGAAACTAAGTTGGCATTAAAGCAACTGAAAAAGAATTTAAAACTGAATTAATTGATGAAAAAAATGCCACAAAACGGCATCGACATCTTAACCTTTTACGAGCAGTCGGGAATAATGGAAAACCAATCTCCTGATGCACCTGTATTAAATGAATCGGGCAAAAAGTGCCGCACGGAAAGCGACCATCAAGCATTAGCACTCGGCGTGAAAAATTGATTTCGCCGTTCGCTGAATAGGATTCCGATAGAACCACAAAAGAATTTTATTAAGTGGTTCTCCGCATCAACACTCTTATTATAGAGCTTCCTCGGATCTATACAGGATGATTCCCGCTAGAATAAATGGCTATTCCGGTTAGAAGATGAAGATATCTACAGGTTTAGGTGTTGAATTTTTTAACTAGATATCTCCAATATTTAAAAAGGGGTGGGAAAAACCGGCGGGGGGCGGGCGCGGGATTCCTAATTCCGGGCACGTTCTTTTGGTTGAAGAGTTAGTTAGATTACTTTTTCGGCATTCGAGCGGAGAAAACAGATAATCCTAGCATAAAAGTTTCGCATCAATTTTTCAACAATGTACGTGATATTCCAAAAACTCCGGACTCGGAGGAGAGGAGGGAAAAAATCGAGGAATAAATAAATCGGGATAACCGTGATGAATCGGACTCGTCGAGGAGTAAACAAAACGCTAAATGAGGAAAAACGGCTTCCTATACAGGCGAGGATGTGCAAGGAATGGAACATTTTAAAGCAGTTTTTCTATTTGGCAACGTCTATATCACAGGGGAAATGGTGATAATTATGAATTAATTAATTTTTATAGATATAATAATCTAGTCACTAGATATCTGAAAAAAAGTCTGGGTTGTCTTGAAAATTTTGTAAAAATTAAATGCTATTAGATGAAACAGTTTAGACAATCTTAGAACTATGTTGAACTATCCAGAATCATTTAGAACCATTTTAGAATTGACAACGACCTTTCAAAACAGTTTAGAACAAATTTAAAAAACATTTAGAACAGTTGAATCATAAAGTAGATCTTGTCAGGCTCATTTAGAATCATTATAAACTGACTAGAATCATTCGAAACAGTTCAGGAAGAATTTAAAACCGTTTATAACTTTTCAAAATCATTTAAAAACTGACTGGGACCATTCAAAATAGGTCAGAAATATCTTAGAGCCATGTAGAACTGTTCAAAATCATTTAGAATCATTTTACAAGCGACTCTAACCGTTCGAAATAGTTCAGGGAGATCTTAGAACTGTTCAAAAATATTAACTTATCAAATAAAATAAGTTAAAAATAAGAAGCGAAGTCGAGGACTTATTGAATGGGTTGGAAGAGATAAGAAAAACTAGATGGGAGTAGATATAAAAAAGGAAGCTAGAACAGTAAAAAATTTCACTATATTGACGTGAAACTCGGATAAATTCCGGCAAAATAAAAGGCGATACGACCGGAAAGTACGTAAACTATAACTACCCCGAAACTCGTAAAACGGATTCCTCATCCTTAATATGTATAAGACACAACCCTGATTCGATGCATTCGGTTGCACATCGTCGCATATATTCGAGCCGAAAGCATTTAAACTCTATTTGCATTCGCTTCATATTGAATTTCGCGTCTTTGAATTCCCCCCGAGTTTCTGCTATAAGTAGAAATCCAACTCGGTATCGCGGTCTCTCGAAACGTGGAAACATTTTAAGACGGATAAATTGAATATAACGTCGTGCGATTCGAATTAACTGCAAACTATCCACCTCCGCGGAGTTTTCCCCGAATAAAACGCGATTCTTATTTCGAATGCGTCTTGATTGATACGCAATCCCGCGGAGGAATCGCTGCCGAGATCCCGGTGTGTTTCACCTAATGAGAAAACTTTCCATCTCCGAATAGACGTGCGTTTGCTTATCTTCGAGCGCCCACGCGCGTTGTTGCCGCTTCGGTTCGGCTGGAGAATCGGCGGGATTTCCCCGCAACCGATCCTGTCGCGGGTTCAAGATGTCAATATTCATTTTTCACCGGAATTACCGCCATAAAAACCGATGGAATCCGATAGGATCGAATATGGATGACTGAATGCAATGGATTGTAACATATGAGAGCGACTTTATGGTAGTCATTTGGGCCGGAGTTGATTCGATTTTTGATGGATAATAATACGGCGGATGGGAAGTTATACTGATGAAAACTACGGCCGTATTTCAGACACCGTCTAGTAGAGGTTCCGATGGCAATAACGAGAATTCGATAAGCGATTTATCAGAAACGATCGCGACTTTATACACTCCGCATTTCCGACGTAATTTATTTTAATATCCGAACTCGAACGATTTAGAAAAAAATATATCGCACGCAACTAAACCACCCCGACTGCTATTAGCGACCCCCTTTCGAATGCACCTCCGCTAATGCGACCGCGCCGATTATTAACGAGACCTCAAAAATTCTAATGACGCGCGGGGACACCCTAATTCACCGAAAGTACTGGATTTATCGACCCGTAATTACTGCCCCCCGCATTATACGGGGTAATTTCGCAATAAATTATTCCACAACAAAATCGTCGGGATATATTAGATCGATATCTCCACCACTGATTCACCGTATTATCTACTTCGTGCATATTTAATGCGTGTTATTTATGTGCGAACCGAATGATAAAAAAATAATCGACACGCGTCCCAAAACGTGCTTTGCGTTTTCTGTTTAAAGGGGTGAGCACGTCGGATTTGTTTGCTCTGCTTGATTTATCGATATTTCTAATGTTAGTTAATTTTATCGAATTAATAGAATAACCACCCTCATGTACCCCTCAGGGTATTTGTGCCGTGAGACCTAATTCCTACTTGAAGAAGTTATCTGTTATTTAAAGGCTCAAATTGTAGAGGAAACTTTCATCGGCAACTTTATTTCGTGGGAAAATTTTACTAAAGCTCTTCGGGAGTTAAAAGCTTTAAAACTAGCCAAAGCTCGCTAAAGCCGGTAGTTTACTTATAGTTATTGATCTTTAGAAGCTTAAAGCTTCTAAGGAAGCTCATATAAACCAACTTAAGCTCAGTATATACAGGGTTTTTCACTATACCCGTTCATTATAATTTTCAATTTAAAGTAGTCAATTTGTAAGTTGTATAAGTTACACTATTTACAAGTTAAATAAACTAATTTATCAGTTTGTATACGGCATGAGAAGTAAAGGAGGAGCTCGGCTCGCCTCTAAACATTAAAAGGTAAAATTCGAAAGCTCTCCCGTTATCGAAGTTAAAACTCCCGCTCGGCGGCGTTTCGAATGTAAATTCAACTTTAAAGATCAAAAGATAAACAAGCCGAAAGCTTTTCGGTTAATATCGTTAATTTATAATACGGTCGGAAGACGTTGCGAAACTTAGGAAAAGTCATTAGAGCTCTTTGCGCAATAATTTCGACGTTGTTTTTCGGGCAAAAAATCCGCCGGATTAGACGGATGGAAAAAGGAGGAGGCGCAAAATGGGGAGCACTTCGGAATTTCTGAATTATTTATAATTTCTCTTTTCCATTAAGTATACTTTTTTTTACGGGAAAGGAAAAGAAATCTTTTTATAAAATTATTCCGCGGAGTAATCCCGTGGGATGTTTTTCCGTTGATTATCGCTGATTTAACGGCGACTTATCGAAAAAGTTGCACCCGTTAAACTCGTAAAATTATTTGGAAACAATAGGTTATTGTTTCTCGGGAAACTGCATTGTATGCGAGCCGAAGGCGATGCGAAAGATTTAAAAAATTAAGCAGCTTTAAGCGCCGCTAAAGCTTCTCCCGAAACGCATTTTATTGCCCTCTTTGAAGTGAACTTTCTTTCCATTATGCGATCGTTTAGGGGATAAAACGGATTTTATTTTTCCTTTTAATATTCCTACGTTAGATGTATTTGTACATATTATAACTTTTCGAATTCGTACTCGACAAAGGACGAATTTCAGATGACATAAAAGAGTAAATTATATAATAATCCTACAAACACTCTATTTTTCTTTTTGAACGAACCGATAAAAAATATTTAACGGGGCGTTTTACGGGGAACAATTAGGGAGATTCTAAAACCGATTTAACGGCGAATTTCGAAAATCATCAAACCGTTTTTAACGCGCTTTTTAAAACAACGACGGCGCTTTAACGTTCTCGGATCGCTTGAAAATTTCATGCGGCACGGCGGAGATGAAGAAATCTATTAACTCGACACGTGTAAAGTCCGTTATTTTATATCCTACCGTTATGAAACGTTGTAAAAATAAAAACCATCCCCAATTGACGGGAAAAAACACGGAATGCGCGTATTATTTTCAGGTCAGGCATCAGTCGTTATCCTTCTTATATTCCCGATCCTTATCGTTATCCTAATACTGCATGATACTGTTCATTATATTAACCATTATCCGGACTCTGTCCATTTTTATTCTTGTCATATTCCTGATTTATTGTCATTATATTGATCCTTCTTATTATATCCCACTCCTGATCCTTTTCATTATTCTTATTCTTCTTATTCTTCACAGTTCATTATGCTGATCCTCTCCATTCTTCTTCTTATAATCCTTATCCTTGACAATAACTTGTTCTTCTTCGCTTATGTCTGATTTTTGTCATTAATTCTTATTTTGACCCTGTCCTCGTCCTGATCCTGTTCATTATTCTTTTTCTTGATCTTTATTATTATCCTGATCTTGATCCTGTACATTATCCTCAATGGTCATCATTATCCTCATCATGATCCTGATATTTAAGTAGCGGCAAATAATATTCAGTTTGTACCACCAAATTAACGAACTTTCTATCATAAAAAAAGCATTTTTTATAAGGTAAAAATCCACAAAGTCCGTTCCTGTACATTGTGCCGGAGTTAGAGCGGAATCGTAAAAATAAAATACGAGTCGAATGCGGAAACTCAGCGCGTTCCAACTACCGTGGGACTTTTGTATTGTTTCCAGTTTTCTCTGGGCCGCCTTAATGGGGAAAATTGTAGCCGTTGTTATTTTTAATGTACCGTATGTTTGTCGGTCTGATATTGCCTCTGTTCCCGTTTTAAGGAGAAACCCCCACACAGCCCGGCTAAGCTACAGGAAAACGATTGACCGCATTTCACTCGCTTTGCCGAGGAAAAAATTAACTGTCGTCGTTCCAGAAACTAGTCCATCGAGTTAACCGGACTATATTCGAGAAAAGGTAGAGGGAATTGTGACTGCGTATTATTCAGCATACCGTTTCATTCTCTTTGTTAAGTTAAGGATAAATAAAGTTTCTTTGTATATAACGTACATCCTTTGAATCTTTTTCGCTTTTTGCATTTTCGAGTCCTTAAAGACTTCATTCCTTATTTATTCAACCTCTCGTTTCTGCGGTACACCTTCTTTAATCACCTTTTTAATTCTTTAGTCCTTATTTAAACCATTTTTTATACATTCCTCGTTATGTGAAAATACAGTTGAAAAAATAAACCGGACGTTGTTCGGGCGACTTCCTGACATTCGGATCCTTTTAATTAACGGGCGCGCAGGATAAAAAGGGACACCGGTCGCAGGGGATGTTTTTATGCGCGTCATCGTTCATATTCGATGCGAAATATGTGTTCGGTAATCCGTCGATATCCTTGATAAACGTGAATTATCCCGCAAAACGAATCGTTGTTTAGGGGTGGCGGGCGTCGACAGGGGCGGTTTTCGAATTTTTTACGCGTTCACACCCTCAATTAATGTCTGAATGAATAATTCATTGTCACAAAGCAACCCTAATGATACTAGATACCTGTTAATTAATATATTAATGGGCGTTTGGAAAGAAATAGGGGATGAAATACTAAAGGAAAAATAGTAGTTGAAGGAATATCGATCGGGAAACAACCCTGCACGTCGATGGAAAGATTAATCGTTCAGCTAGTGACGAATGACGTGCATCGTCTAAGGGTTGTAATATTTTCGGGTTTTTTTTTATTATTTTTATATTTATATAAAAGATAAGCAAACATGTCGACAGCGCCATTCAAAAGAAGGATTGACTATAAAACTGTTAGGGTAGTCGATTTAGGTATTGGATTTTCCCGTGGGATGAACAGATTTCGTAAACAAAATAATTAAATGAAATATTGTATAACACGCTTAATTTTTCAAATATTTTATTCATGAGTTTGTGGAAAAATTGACTTATTGTTTTCGAGATAATAGATGAGATTGAACTCGTAGGAATAATTACAGTTCGGCGTAGGCTCGTTCAACTGTAGATTAGAATTATCGACGGTAAAAACGGCAAAAATCGATGCTATAAAACGCGATTTTCGATTCCGATTCGATACCGGCCCGACAAACCTGCGTATTATGTAAATTTTAATAACGCAGATAGGAAAACGCGGAACCGAAAAGAGATTAGTTTCGTTAGTTGAAATTGTAAAATTGGCTTATTATGCAGGCCGGCCGATGCGAAAAAGAAGAATTATCGGATAAAACGCAACAAACAATGCTCCCCCATGTTCGAATTCAATTACAATTATCAGCGAACCCAATACAATGCGTTTACTTATCCGATTTAAAATCACCGTTCGAAAAACGAATGTTTTAATTAATAATAATTTAAAAATCGCATATAATGCATTCGCGCTAATCTCACCATGACGTCACTAATACCCATGTAAATTGTCATCGTGGAATTTTGGATAACAACATTTTTTTTATCTCGATTATCCGCGTTTTTCCATTAATAAAAGCGATCGCTTATCCCGACTTTCCTTCAAACTTTCGCCGAATAAAATATGAAAAACGAAATAAAGAAGACGCTACTGAAGCGTATACTGCGAAGCCGCACGACCGGAACTCCCCGTAACTTTTTTAATAAATTTCAATTAGATACGCGCCTTCGAAACACACCCCACGTCGCCGCCGCCCCCGCCTAATCCTCGGTCACGTGGACATCGACTATTCAGCTTTCCAGCCGGCGATCTGTCCCCTTTCCGGTGCAATTGAGTAAAGTAGCGAATGCGTTTTTTTATTAATA